AACAACATGGAAGATGCATGGTCTCTCTGAGCAGACTAAGGTGGCAGCTTTTAGAGTTACTGTGATCATTGGGCCCAGGTGCTCTATGTCAGGCTGATTGGACAGCCATGACTACCAATTACACAAACCTGCAACACAATAGAAAAGAAGGCAAAACCTTCAGGCCTGAGGGCCGTCACAGCTATAGTTAATAACAGCTAGGTTAGCTCATTTATAGAAGGAGCATACAGAGTTCATTGTTGCTATGAATGCAACTCTTAACGGCATATTTCAATGGACTGTTTAGCAGAAATAAAATATCAATGGTTAATCATTTAAATTATTTATTAATTAAAATCTTGTTCAAAGTTGTTCATTTAAGTAGCCCTGTAATAAGAGTAATAATGTATAGTGAGTGGGTTGTCGAGGAGCCCCTTCAGGAGGAGGAGTCAAGACCCCTCTTCTTTGTGTAGTGGTCCTGCTCTCCGCCAGGTTCCATGCTGCTTTAACAACTGCTCACTCTACATAATCCCTTATGTATTAGGAATGCTATAAATACCAATCGGCTTTTAATAAAGGTTCTCTTTATTCTGGAAAGAAAAAACCAAGAAGTTAGTTTTTTTTTTCTGTTCGGCAAGTGCGTGCAATGTTTTACATTTAGTAAAGATTTAACAAATGTTGAATGTGATTAGAGAGTGTAAAGGCCTTTTCTCTTGAGTTTCCAATGGAAGCCCACTATTTAAAAGTATCATATTATACAACATTTGTTTTACCATGTTTTTACCACTAATGTGTCCCTAGCCTGACTCCAAACCCCCCAATGATGAGAAAAGTCCATCCTCTCCGTCTTTTTCCTGCTCCGCTTTTCAGTAAATGTGTGCTCAAGTTTGGAGATTTGCCCTTCATGACATCACAAAGGGCAGTAACCCCTCCCCCAGGTGGGTGACACTCCCACAGCTAGGTGTTTGTTCTGCCCTCTGCATTTTAACTATAAACAATTGGCATTGTGCAATAAAGCCCAAGCCACACCCCCTTGTAGAGGGGCGTGGTCAAACACAGCTCACTTTCATTCAAAGCTACAGAAACAGCCTGTTCTGAGCAGGGCTGATATAGAGGACCAGATTGGATTTTTTTGTTTAGGGGAGCTCTGTGACTCATTTAAACTGGTTGAAAAGCAGAATAACATGTGACCTTTAAGATTAGTGCTGTACTTTTTAAACCAATGTAAAACTGGTGTAGATGCTTTTGTCTTACTTTCTGCAAAAAATGCAAATAAATATATTATCCAAGATGTTCCAAAGTAACAAGTTTATTAGCTGCCAGTCAATGCCATGTTTTTCATGCCATTTCGTTTTTGTATTTTTGCACATATCAAGAGTACTGAGTGCCTGATTCACGCACAATGGATTCTAATGGGGCCACGAATTGCGTATCATTTGCTCCCACTATCTGCTTCGTGTCAAGGTTTAATTCAAAGCATAGAGAGCTAATGATTTTGTAAAGCTAATGACTTTCTTTGTGTTGCCCTTAATTCTGCTCTTCTTTTGAGTCTTGTTTCTTTTTTTCTTTTCATTCCTGCTAAATCAATCACTGAAAAAGGCACCCGTTAGGTGTCTTTAAAATGCAAATAGAGAGATAGGGACTGGAAGACGTGTCAATTGTAATATGGGATTTAACACCTGGACATAAACCTGTAAGTAGAGACAACAGGAGAGTGACAGAGGTGTAAGTGATTGCCTCAGATTTCCTGCAGAGTTTATGAGCTCAGATTAGAAACACTGTGAGGAGATCATAAATCTCTCCAGCTGCTGAATGTGATGGATGGATAGTGAAACAACTGGACCAGAGGGGTACACCTTTTTAGGAGAGACTAGTATGTGGCAGGAAACTGATGCTTTAATGAATACGTTTGGATGCATGGTATGTTGTGCTAGCTGTATGCCGATGTTATCTGTATGTTTTGTTTTTGTACCCAGGCCAACATGTCTATATGGCGGAAATGTCAGTTGACAAGAAAAGCTTCTGCAGCACAGTGTTAATGTGTACTGACTTTGATGTCCATCCTTAAAGCAAACACTATATATATATTTTTTAATAATTTTGTTCTACGCTGCAAAAATAAGATATGCAAGATATTTCATCTGTCCAGTTTTTGTTGCTGGGTAGCAAGTCCTTTCACCAGGCTCATGAAAACAGTAAGAATACGCAGCTACCAGAGGTCTTAAAACAAGACCATACAGCTCTGTTCTTGCATCTTGGTGTCAATACTGGCCATATCTGTTTTTCTTATTATCATGTTACTTCAGCATCTTTTGCACGATTCACCACTGCACTGTTTCATATTTAGTCATGTAAATATTAGTCTTTTCTTATTATGTTTATTGTTGATATTTAATGTTGTACCTGTACATAAGAGAGCACAGTTCACCAAAGTTAAATTCATTGTGTGTGTAAGCATACCTGGACAATAAATCTGATTCTGCACAGAGCCTTACCAAGCCAGGTTTTGAACACACAATCTTCAAGTTAGGGGCCTTGTTAGAACTATTGAACCACTATCCATCCATTCATTATTAATTCTGCGTTTGCCTGTCCGGGGTCACAGGGGGGCCTGGAGCCGATCTCAGCTGTCATTGGGAATGGGCAATCACAGGGCTGACATATATAGACAGACAATCAGCCACACTCAGATTTACACCTTTCAAACGGGCAATTTAGAATCACCAGTTAACCTAACGAGCATGTCTTTGGACTGTGGGAGGAAGTAGGAGAACCTGGAGAGAACCCACACATGCACAGGGAGAACATGCAGACTCCACACAGAGAGGCCCTGTTCGACGGGGATTTGAACCAGGAACCTCCTTGCGGTGAGCCAATGCACCACCCTTTATGTGAGACTGAAGTCCCTTATATTGGATATTATTAGATTCCACAGGCAATTAAAAAAAGGACCCCTGTTCCTCTAATGTCTCAGAATAGATTTTGAGGATAGCTTTGCTTTTTCTCTGGCATTGACCTGATATTGACCTTTTTTGGTTGGGGCGTGAAATGTTTGGATGGACGGCTGAAAAAGATTCTCATCTTTTCCACACAATCGGCGCTTCCATATTGTCAGTTAAATGCATTATATTAATGCCCCTGGTATGCCTTGTCTACAATGTGTAACGCACAAAGGCGGAAAGTCAAAGTCATTCTGCCCCTGATCCCTCCCCATCAGAGGTCGTAATGGGGTGGTGAGGGTTGTGCCAATGTGTTCATTTGGGCAGGCAGGGCAGAACAGGGCTGTGTATTTATGTGAAGCTCCCACTTTGTGTTAACACAACAAGCCTCTGGTGCTCCTGTAAGGTTATGTCCCAGTGTGTGAAATCACACACTGGGACACACATTACTTTCTGCTGTTTCAGAATCACAAACTGTTGTGAGCTAATGAAACACAGTTTTGTAATGCATTGAATGTGATTTAAACCTTTTGAAGCTGTGAACAGTAACACAAACACAGATCTAGCAAATGTTTATAATTTGATTCAAAACGAAGTCAACAAAACTAAAACACAAAACCTGAAACCATTCCTTTTAAAATATTAATTCATTTTTAAAGTGACGCACACATCCCTCAGCTTGCTGGTTAAGCTAAACCAATTAGAAGCATCTCTGCGTTTTACGTAATGACACAAAATCCCTCAAAGGGATTCAAAGCAAGACTCCATAGGGTAGAGTACAAAAGGTAGGTTTCATTCAGTGCAGCTCGATACACAGGCAGTCCAAAATCACCAGCAAACGAAAAGGAGCAGGCAAAAGAAAGGGTAAAAAAATCAGGTTACAGTCCAACACAAGGAACTAACTGAGAAAAAGCACTAGGATGAGGTTACACTGAAGAAAACATAACAGAGGCCATGAAGGGATTAAATACACAGACAATCAGTAGACAACAAGATGCAGGTGAGTTCAATCAGGCTGACACACAAGGTGGGAAACATTAGGAGCAGGATCTGGAAGACAGGTACAAGGGTAAGTAACAAAATAAAACAGGAAATGACAATAATTTTATCCCATCTCTTCCCCTATCCCTTTCCAAGCCCGGCGCAGTCTAGGCCTGTGAAGGCTGTTTCGTCATGGACCGGGGATCCAGCTGAAGATTTCTACCTTTTAATAAGACAGTTTTTTCTTACCACTGTAACTTTTGCTGCTTTGTTAAAGTGCTCATGATGGATAGGCCGGGTCTTTGTAATATAGCAATAAGAAAGGTCTTTTACCTGTTTTTTGTAACATAACAATGAGTAAGGTCTTTTTACCTGCTCTTTTGTAATGTTAACAGACAAAGAGTAAGGTATTTTACTTGCTTTTTGTAAAGTGTCTTGAGATAACACTTGTTATGAGTTGACGCTATACAAATAAATTGAATTGAATTGAATAATCAAAAAACAACAAAAAAAACATCTGGATGGAGTGTCACTTCAAATTTACCACCACCTCTCGTTTATTGTGTTATCTTTGAACTCAATCTTATTCAAATGTCTTTTTGTCTAACAACAAAAACATCATATACATGTTGTAAAAATAGTTATTATGAATGACTTTTAGAACGAGTGAGCACTTCTGCAATCTAGTGTTGCTGGATAAGAGATCTAATTCAGCTGGCCTGTGAAAAGCGGTCCGTTGCAGAACCCTAAAAGAGTGTGCAGTGCTGACTCAAAGACATTAAGAACAATCAAAAGCATCTTTTTTTATAACTTTGACATTTTTAAAATGTCTTAATGTGTTAAAACATTTGGCAAAAATTACGTTTTCACTAGAACACTCACATATCCAGAGCTGGAACCTCAATAAGAAACTTAACAGCTAAGCTTATTTACAGAAGTTACCAATGTGACGGTCGTTGCCCTATACCTTTAAGTCAGATGTAACACTGCTGACATTGGACAACAGAAGCTGTCATTCAAATCCTGAGCCAATTGGATGCAGCCTATAGCCAATAGGCATCTACCCCCTTTCACCAGGTGCACTAATCAAGAAACCAATCAAGGAGTCAGTGAGAAGGCAACAGGAGACAGTCATTCCTAAAACAGTCAAGGAGAACTTCTGAAAGAAAAACAATGTGCTTTTCTACCCTGGACACAAAGCTGGACTCAACTGAACTGAAACTTCAAGCCCTTGAGGAGCTGCTGTGCTGCTGGCGAGGAGGAATGTGTCAAGACTGAACACTGGTGAGACATCCAGAATAGAACATTGATCAAATTGCTGCTCCCAAATTGAGCACACATGTAATTTTGTTACCTGTTTGCCTAAACAGGTCAGGCCATATTGCTGGAGCAAAGAAGATGGCGAGCTAAAGGAGCAACTTCAAAAGACTCAAGATTCCCTCAAAAGGCAGGCTTCAAGCCTGGCTATCTGGTTGAAGGGTGTGGTAGGATTTCCCCTACCTAAATAAACATTTGAATTCGTTGGACATCTGCACACACATAACAAGTAACTGCAGTACGTGTAATGTGTTTTGGTGCATTGATTTATACGACTAGAATTGGGAATATTTAGCCAATGTTGTATGGAGGGTAAAAAGTGCCCTTAAGAATATGTTAATTGAAGGCCTATTTTCTTTTGTTTAATTTGTGGTATTTTCCTTGATTAAGTTAAAGTGTTTTTTGTTATTTGTTACAAATTGAATTTTGAAATACACAACCGGTTATCAACATTCTGTGTCATGTGTTTAATTAATTCTCGACCAGCTCCAAGAGTCTAACCTACATTAGCCCAGTACACCTTAATTTGGTATATCTTGTTTTTTGATAATTTATTATTTATAAATACATATTTGATTTAAAGTAAATTGTTGTATCCTGAGTGTTACACAGGCTTCTGTCTCTCTTGATCCTAGAGAGGAATCAGAGCCAGATTCACAGCAGCCTGTTAAAAGTCCTTCACCCCAGTGTGGCTCTTTCTCTTCCACCTTGACTCATCTCAACCATCATACACATTTCAACATTTTGTTCTGTTTTGCTACACAACTTCCCACGCTTCATTATGCCACACATCCACATTGACACTACTGGCTTTACTCCCGGACACACTCCATGTGAGCAGCTATTGTGTCATTTGTTTACTTTCTTACAATAACACAATTATTTATTTTAATATATTATGTGCAGTACACGGGTCCTTTTTCACATTCGCCATGGTTATGACACCACATCGGAATAAAGGAATAGTGATTCAAATATTCCAAAGTACTTGCTGCAACAAGTATTCATCAATAAAAATATTGTAATACTAATGTTTAATGTAAAATATCAGTCATGGAAAGATATATTTTAATAGGAATTGTATCATCATTCTTTCATTCTTCTGCATCATTGTCTTAGAAAACTGAGGATCAAAGCAGAGTTTCTGATTGGCTACACAGGCTTTTCCTGGCTACAAGTGAAGCTGTTTATTAAGCACAGTATGTATCACTTCATCTCCAAGAAAAAACAGGAGGAGGAACACTAACTCTTCCTACCCATTTTTCATGATATTAGGATTTTTCACAATTGTTTACACTAAATGATGATTAGAGGTTCTGTAGCTGTCCTAATACTTTTAGGACTTGACATTTATTGGTATAAGAAGAGTATTGGGGGGGTTAGACATCTTAAAGGGTATAGTCAAAATATATGTAAACAAAAATCTGCCATTTAATTGAACAACATACAATGCTTGATACATGTAGATGAGTAGAAACCATAGCAGTGAATTAAAAAAACTTCACTGGTATTTGTTGTTTTTGTATCAATTGTTTTCCCTCTGCTGTATCCAGCTATTATTAAATAATTGATGTTGCCTTTATTAGCCTATACAGTGTAGCACAGAGAATAAATCAGTGTGTCTGATATCACTGATAATCATTTTAGCAGGTTACAGTTCAGTCTGATCGTACTGGCAGTCGCTTTTCTTTCCATTAAAGCAGTAATAGTGGGCTGTTAAAACACTAATAACAATAGACTGGTAAACACTTTGTTTGTTATTCACTTTACAGAGTCGTGTTTGTCACATTAAAACCTTAAATTAAAAGCATTTAATTATTGAACACAGTAAAATAGTTGTTTACACCTGACTCAGTCTGGGAGAATCCATTTTCCATTTCTTGTCTACTGAAAACAATTCAGCGCATAGTTATGTCCAAAAGGCTATAGGTGGTAGCTTTAAGTGGTAGCACATTATGTGTGCCTAATTTAACTGCCTTGCTGGAATTACCAATACACTGTTTAAAAACGACTTGTCCTCAGTGGCGACTCTGGAGTCTGCTGAGGCCGGCGGCAAAAATTTACAAACAGCGGTCATCCCCATTATGAAATAAATAATTTGACACCAAAACATTTATTAGTTATGTTATAAAAGTGTCTTTCCCCCATATTTAGGGCTAGACAAGCATCATTCAGTCATATATGACTGAGTGCTGACAGATATATCACTCAGGGGGGTTTCCTACTGTCATTGCAAACTTTGCACATTTTGCTATGGCCTAAAGCTATCAGCCCTTGGGGGGCCCCTACTTGCCTGCCCTTGAGGGAGCAGGCAACCAAAGAGGTTGACTTAAGCGGGTCTTGTTTGTTTGGACCAGTCGATCAACTTGTTTGTTGACGCTTTGTAAATTGGCATTTAACTTGGCACCAAATGGGTTTCCTTGGATTTTGTATCAGTGAACACTTGTAGAACTAAATGGTTTTGCACTACTGGAGTGTCTGCTTAAGCCTACCAAATACTCTGCGCTTCAATTTACCAAAACTAGCCAATGTTATCTAGTGTTTTAGTCTAAATTATAGTTTCAGTTTAAATGTTTTATATTTAAATAAATAATAATTCCATCGAGTGTCAGGGTAAATGTGTTCACCATAAAATATTATTATTTTCATTCCTCAATCAAATAGATGGCTAATTTAAAAGTTCTGACAGGGAGCTAGGTCGGTTGTTGAGTTTAGCTAGCTACATAACAATCATGTTTTATGTAACCCATAGCAATCAAGTGATGTGTTTATCTCCACTTACTTAAACATTTTTCAAAGTCTAACTCTTGTCTCACAAGACGAGAAGTATTTTTGTATTCTGTGTTCATGTACACAGAATACATGAAGAGTGTGGGGGTCCATATGTGTATGCTATGACAATGTATTTACCCTTTTTTTCCCCTCCGGGTTAGGGTTAGTTATAATGAACAATACCCATTCCTCTTCATGGGAGCTGTAAACAGACATTGTACTTACGGGATGCCCTGTAACAAAACCACAGGTAACTGAACCCAAAAGCACGACTCACAACACAGTCTTTGGTTGAGGGGGAAAAAAAAAAAAACAGTCTTTACTTCTTAAGCAGACAGAATCCAAAAAAGTGATCCAAGAGGAAACAAAAGGCTTGAACGCTTCTCACAAGGGTCAAAGATGAACTGGCACAGAAAGAAGGGAAGCCATAGACTAAATACTAAAGGTGAGGGGGAAGACAACGAGATGCAGCTGGGAACAATCAGGGCGGGGCAGACAATCACACAGGTGGGAAACACATGAGGGCAGGAAGTGAAGGATCTGAAACGAGAGGAGAGGTTAGTGACCCAAAACAGGAAATAATACAAATAGAAATAAAAACAACCTAAGACACCGAGCTGGACATGACATGCCCTAGAAGACATTTTCCTTTGCTAACACTGAAGAACATTTGACTGTACTGTGAAATATTATATGTTTAACTGAAATAAAAAGTGCATCTTATACACAGGATATTACGGTACATATTGTCCCACATGAACAATCATACAGATACAGTTGAAGCCATGGGATCTGTTTTATCCCTGTGTCTACAGACTGACATGCTACTGGCTTAACAGCACCATATCACAGACACTATAAGTCCTCCTGAAGGATGTCTGTGAGTATGCATGCTAAGTTAATATCAGAAAACTGGTAGGTGGTAGGTGTCATTAATTACAGCCGCATTATTGGCTGCTGCGGCAAAAACAGATTAAAGGTGACAATGAGCAGTTATCCATCAGGGCTTTTAACCTCTTTGTTGGTGTAATGAGGGCCTTAAACTGCCTGGTATACACGTCAAGGTAAGAGGATAAATACACCTTATATCTCAGATATTGCATGAAGGATTCCCACACTGTCAAGGTTAGAGGATTATTATCTATCTAAGGCAATTGCATCACGGGGGGTGTATTATGTTTCTGTGACTACCCAGAATAAACGCTCTGGAAACATTGAAGGCATCGGGGAGAGATATCCAATACATGGCATTTATTGACATTGACAATGTGAAACTCCGGATATTCCACAGAGAAAATGAAGAATGTTTTTAATATTTTATGATCCTCTGGTTGAGAGTCTCAGATGATGCAACCTGAGCAAATTGACAGCAGTGTTTGAAATCGTCTGGTTGTTCTTGTGAGCAGCGTCTCGTGTCGACTGATCTCTCTCACTCCCTCGCACACACACACACACAATCACACACGTGTAAAGTCTGCATTGACTACCTTTGCATTATATAATTTTATTATGAACTGGGCCAAAATCTCTCATCCAGTCGACAGACTATGATAACATACAAAGATCTTATAAAGACACAAAAACGGTACCCTTGAAACGTGTTTTGTCAATATTTGAAACTGCAGCTTGATCATAGATTTTAATAACTAATAAATGAGTTGTAGTTAGCTCTTTTATAATAAAGTTCTTTATGGTGTACCAGTGCACACAATGTATCCTTACTATGATAAGATCCTCAACTGAAGGCAAAATCATACAGATTAAATTGTCGGCAATGATCCCTCCATTTATTTAAATAGATCAACACATCTCAGTTTTCATGTTTGTCTATTTGCATTTCATTGCATCAGTAAACAGAGCAGATGCTTACAACATATGGCTAATTGTTGGTTTTATGCTTCAAGCCCTGCCTTTAATATCAACCACAAAGCTCCAAACAGAACCCCATGTTGTTACTTTAATCATGGCCAGTGGCCGAGACAATTCTGTCTCTCTCTGTGGTCTCTAACACACGTCAGGCAGTGATAGGCTTGCTGGTTATGTGAATCCTTTTCTCCATAACATCTTCTGACTGCCAGAGAAAGTCTCTGTTAGACTTCTTGTGTTGGATAATTGCTTGTGTGCTATTCTATATATCTTTTAAATTATAAATACATCCAATTAAGACATATATCAACATTCCATCCTTCCTATATTGTCTTTGGCACTAAGCCCAAAGCCAACTGGCTCCTTCTGAAGACCCAATTACGTAGAAGTCCTCCCCTGTGTACCCTCAATAAAATATATATTACTTCTTAGGTAAGGGAAACACTGAGATTTGTCTAAAAGACTACAATTCCTCAGAGTCAAGTCATACAGCTTGATACTGAATGGCGCCATAATTGTACTCTTTTCCGTTTCCAAAAAAAGGTTGTAACTAGGATTATAAAAGGCTTACAAAAGATATATTCACTGAATATGTCACAGATCATAGTACATATATGATCTATGTTAAAATAAAGTACATATATCAGTTCATTTCGGATATTTTGACTGTTATTCTAGAAACGGGAATTTTGGTAGTTATGTCTGGCGTTATGCACAGAGGGAACATAATTAGGGTTGTAAAAAATGTATATCTACCCACTATATCAAATATTTACTGAAGCCAAATGGGTTTTGTAAAATAATCTAGACTATA